ATATATAGTATATATAATATTTAAATGCTAATTTTAAAGCCTAGGAAGTGTGAAAACTTGGACTTTTAATGAAAAGTGTTGTTCATTTTTTTAATGTATAAGTTGTCATAATTACTGATTTAGGTAAGGTTTCAGGCAATATTTCTAAAGACTGCAGTACAATCCTAAGTTAATTTTGAAATGCCCATTAAATAATTATTTATGATAAAGAGAACTGATTCTCCCTATAGTCCAGGAGATTTAACTTGCCTACAGACTGATCATTAAATGGCAGTAATGCTGAGTTGGCAGTCACAAAGTGGTAAAATGTTTTTTTGTATTTGTTGAAATGATTTAGGTTGTTGTCTTTAACAGGTCGATTACAGAGCTTACTTACGTGTAGTTTAAGAATTATATATTTATCTCCTGTAAAAGCCTTCTAGGTTGTTTTGAAAGTGCAATTAAGTTTTACTTCTCCTTGTTTAGGTTCTTCCAACTAAAATGTCTTATGCAGCAAACTTAAAAAATGTCATGAGCATGCAAAATCGGCAAAAGAAGGAAGGAGAGGAACAAAACGTGCCTACAGAAGAATCTGAAAGTTCAAAGCCAGGGCCTTCAGCTCATGATCTTGCAGCACAACTGAAAAGCAGCTTGTTGGCAGAGATAGGTTTGACAGAAAGTGAAGGGCCACCTCTCACATCTTTCAGGTAGCTTGAGTTGCAAATTACTCTATGAAATATTACTGAACTGATAAAAGGATATTTGGGACTTGTGACAAGCCTGTTTAAATTAAAATGTGCAGCTTGCTTTAGAATTTGCAGTTTGTGTTTGATACCTTTTAAAACGAGTAGTTGAACAGAGAGGTCTGTGCAAACTGTTGTTCAAGTCCTTCACTACCTGACTTCCTGCTGCAGACCTGCTATGATGCCCTGGGTCACAATCTGTAAAGATTAGAATTGTCAGCTTGCCATTTGTGTCGGGTGATACTGACCACACTTTATGCAGCTAAAGCTTGATCTGCCCTCACTTTGAAGTACAGCATTTTTTAAAAAAATAAAATCTTGATTGAAGGGAGTCCAATAACAGTGAATTCCAAGTAGCAGTGAAGTCACATGCTTTGAAAGTAATTTCTCTTTGGAAGCAAGACTTGTGTTTCACCTGAAACTAAGTGACTTCATGTGCTTTTGTCCACAAACTTACTGTACTGTGTTGTTGATTATCAGAAACAAAGAACTTACTTGAAGGCAGAGGGTAAGAAAAAACAGAAAGGACCCAAAATTTGTTGAAATGTAACTTGATTTTGCTTGTCTTGTAATTGCTTCCCTCCTTCTGTTAGACCACAGTGTAGCTTCATGGGCATGGTTATATCTCATGACATGTTGCTGGGACGTTGGCGCCTTTCTTTGGAGTTGTTTGGTAGAGTATTCATGGAAGATGTTGGAGCAGAGCCTGGATCGGTATGTGTTACCAAGTGTGAAGACAATCCCTCTTACAACTAAATAGTGGACCTCCCTCGTTATTCTCATACTGATTTCTATTGTTTCATTTTTTTTATTTTAAGATCTTGACTGAATTAGGTGGCTTCGAAGTAAAGGAATCAAAATTCCGCAGGGAGATGGAAAAACTTAGAAACCAGCAATCCAGGGATTTAACGTTGGAGGTAAAAAATGTTAGTCTGTCTTCTGAATTTGTTTTCATTAAAAGTTGAGTTATTGAACATTGCAGTCACTTTACAGGAGAATTTGTATTTTGGAGTCTGCAAGCAGGTGTCTTAAACCTTACTTGGTGAGCTGTGTAGTTACTTTGTGGTTTTGGCAGCCTAATTGGTATTTTCTAAGTCTGTGCCGAAGTGTTGAGAAACTGGAATTCACCTGATATGATGATTGGTAAAGAAAACTTCTTTGTGTTGTCACTAGGTTGATCGAGACAGAGACCTTCTAATTCAGCAGACCATGAGGCAGCTCAACAATCATTTTGGTCGCAGGTGTGCTACCACTCCGATGGCTGTACACAGAGTAAAAGTTACTTTTAAGGATGAGCCAGGAGAAGGCAGCGGTGTAGCACGAAGCTTTTATACTGCTATCGCTCAGGCTTTTCTGTCAAACGAGAAACTGCCAAATCTAGATTGTATTCAGAATGCCAACAAGGGTACACATACAAGTAAGTGGTGCACGACAATTCATCTACAGAAAACCTTCATTAAAAGCTTTGGGTATTTTTTTGCATTGAAATACTTGATATTGACTCAGAGATTTCTCTTGTTAGCTCAGCATGGGAACTGTGAAAATTGTGAGCATTACTTCTCTGAGGCAAGGAAATGGCTTTTTTTTTTTCTGCTTTCAGAAACAGAAAGCTCTGTTTTTTCAGAGCCTGCTTTAGATGCTCCTAGCTTTTCTGAGCATCTTTCTCTCCAGTAGGTAATAACTGTCAAGATTTTAGCTAGTGAGAGCTTACACATTTTAAAATGACTGCTCCATCTGGCTTGTCATAAATACGTTTTAATGTTTTTGAAAGTATATGTAAACTCTTTGAAGTATTTTCGCATTTGTAAGTTGGTACAAACGCTTCATATTCCTTTCTTAAGTTTGGCTGAAACCCCATCACTAAGTGATTCTGTTTCATTGATCTCTTTCAAGCTATCTTCCAAATTGTGTCCTCCTTACACTGAAACTTAGATAGCCAAGCGAGATATAAAGATGTTTGAGCTTATGAGGTTTTTCCCCTTCAGGTCTGATGCAGAGATTGCGAAATAGGGGAGAGAGAGATCGAGAAAGGGAGCGAGAGAGAGAAATGCGGAGAAGTAGTGGCTTACGAGCTGGTTCTCGGAGAGATAGGGATAGGTAAGTGATATATTTTTAATTTATTGGAGGTGCATTGTCAAATAGAATAATTGCCTTGGTTATCTTCAGGAAAGATACTTTGTGCATCCTCGAAGGTGTCGGTCTTTTTTACTTTCAGGAGCAATTTTCAGGGTAATTTTGTTAAATTCAATATATACTTGAATTCTTTAAAGAATAATTATGCTTACTTTAACATTGATAGGTTATGGCTCAACCGTATGCCATCAGTCTCTCCTACTAAACAATAATAAAATTGGTATACTGGAATAAAATTGTGGTTTAGAAACAGCATTACCATTGGTGGCATGTCCTGACTGCTGTATCCAAGTGACTAATAGTATTAAAATCTCTGATTCCTTTTGATTCTCTGTTTCTGAACCATATGAGCAACACTACTATTCCAGCATAAAAGCTAAGGCTGTTTCGAATCTGTGTGCAGATGATATTGTTCCAGAGAATTTCTTGCAGATTTCCTCTGGGATGGGTGTAAACTGCTCTAATTTTCTTAAGGGACTTCAGAAGACAACTTTCCATTGACACGCGACCTTTTAGACCAGCGTCAGAAGGAAATCCTAGCGATGATCCTGACCCCCTTCCAGCACACAGGCAAGCCCTTGGAGAAAGGCTCTACCCTCGAGTGCAAGCAATGCAACCAGTAAGGCTTACCTATGTAATGCACGTGTTGATACATTGTTCTTGTCATCTTTCAATTTAAAAATTAATTTCTTTGTCCGTTGTTGTTTAGCATAAGTGAAAGTATCTGAATATGTAGGGCTGCTTTTATATTCTCTGGCATTTTCATAAGACTTTGTTCCTGTAATTTATCCCTTAGCTTAGGAGGTATCTCATAACACATTCTCTAAAATACTAAAACTTTCATAAAACTGTATTTGAAAATGAGAGCACTAGAGGATAATAGTAAGATGTGTCATTCCTTGTCCTCAGGCATTTGCAAGTAAAATCACAGGAATGTTGTTGGAATTGTCCCCTGCTCAGCTGCTTCTGTTGCTGGCTAGTGAAGATTCCCTTAGAGCAAGAGTTGATGAAGCAATGGAGCTCATTATTGCACATGGCAGGTAAAGTATCAGGGATTTAGATAAGAAATGAAGACTTGATTTTCGCGGCCAAAGTACTGTTGCTACATCTAACACTGATACGTGCAACTTATTTCTTTGTTCTAAATATTTTTCTTCAGACAAGTGATTTGCTGACTTTGATTTAATCTAATCAGTCTGCCTTTAGAATATGACAATTCTTTATTGTGAAATTAAATCTGGCTTCTTTTGTTTATTCCCCTTGTCAAGGGAGAACGGTGCTGACAGTATATTGGATCTTGGATTGCTAGACTCTTCAGATAAAGTGCAGGTAACACACTTGCACAAATTAAATTTACTTAAGATCCGGTTTTATCAGTTAATTTAAATCACTTAAGCAACTGGAGTTTTCCTTTATCATGCAAGACAAAGTTCTGTTTAATTATCTTTTGAAGTTATCTTTTTTCTTGTTTTCCTTTTTTCTTCTGTTTTCCTTTATTTCATCTTTTTTCCTCTTTTTCATCTTATTCTCTTTCATTCATTCTCCTTTTTCCTCTTGTTCTCTGTTTTCCTTTTTTTTCTCCTTTCTCTTTCCTTTTTTTCTGTCCTCTTTTTCTCCTTTTTTTTTCTCTTTTCAAATATTAAGCAGTAACTCAAAAGTATAAAATGTTATCATTAGGAAATATTATGGAAATTCTTAAGCAGTGAAACTTGAATCTTGGAGTGTAGTAGCAAATAGCTTGTTGATATGTCAGTAATTAGAAATAAGTTTGTTAATTACTATTCTGACTTTCAAACCAGGAAAACAGAAAGCGACATGGTTCCAGCCGCAGCGTAGTAGATATGGAATTAGATGATACAGACGATGGGGATGATAATGCACCACTTTTCTACCAACCTGGGAAACGAGGTTTTTATACACCAAGACCTGGTAAAAACACAGAAGCAAGGCTGAACTGTTTCAGAAACATTGGCAGGTACGCTTCTTTTAACTTGCTAGTCTGAAAAAATGTAGAAGACAACCACGGAGAGTACAAGGATCTGAGCTGCAAAAATTTTTACTTTTATGCTCTGCATTTATCACCTGGAGCTAAACAGTAGGGAATTTGTGCATGCTAACTTGAGATTTCCTTTCCTGTTAATTTTTTTAGTATTTTTTTTACAATCTGAAAGTTTTGTAGTGCAGGCAATATTCTTTTGTTTTACCTGTGTGTGAATTTATTTTGGGGAGTGATAGGGCTGGAAAGCTAGCTGCAGCTTGATTCCTAGAATATTTTTACTTTTTAAATGTGAGTTTGCTGAAAGATCTCCAGTGTAATTTCTGTCATACTAAAACAAAACATTTATTTTCAGAATCCTAGGATTGTGCTTGTTACAGAATGAACTGTGTCCCATCACGTTAAATAGGCATGTAATCAAAGTTCTTCTTGGCAGAAAGGTAAGTTAAACTTCAAATTCAGTTTCCTTTAATCAATTAAAATTTCATCTTTTAAACTTGTGATTTT